AACAACCATATGGCAAGCTTGACATTAAAGGCTATAGCATGCCATCCGTTTTTAAGCACAGCTCTCCACTGGTTTCAAGGAGGGCATTGAAATCAATAGGGATGCATGCTCAAATTTTGGTGTCAGGATATGACCCTGTAATATTTAATCAAAACTCCATTAAGCAATCTCGGGTTGCCACCCCTGAAGCCCCTCCCCGTCTTCCACTTCTTTCCCAGAGGCCCTGCCTCCATCACTCGCTCCTCTCCCCACGCCCCCTCCCATTGCTCGCTGTACCATCTCAAGGAGCTTGCCTGCAGGGAGGAGGCGGCCCCGCTGAGCAGAGGCTGGTGCATGTGAATGACCTGGCACTCTCCCTGCCCTGTGGTAACTGAGCTTTTGGTTCAGGTGCCATAGGGTTGCCAGGTCACCAAAAGCTTGGCACCTGGAAACCCTAAATCGCACCTGGACACAGAAGCCAAAAGCCAGACTGTCCGGATAAAACCCAGACAGGTGGCAACCCTAAAGCAATCACAGGCTCTGTTTCTGTTAGCGTCTTTCCTGATTGCCAGGATATTTGCATGTGGACAGAAGTCGTCTTCTTTAATGCTGGCCTCCACCACATCCTGTCTCACATTGTGCTTATCCAGCACTGTATCTTCTCCAATCACTAAACAGATGTTTTAATAATCTTCATAACACTGCTGGGACTTAGGAATTATTTTCTCCAATGTGCAAATGAGGAAACTGAGGCACGGACAGGTCAAGTGGACACACGGTGAGTCGGCGACAGATTCTGGAGCTTTGCCTGAGTGAGGCCTACAGGACTGGGCTGCAGCACTGCTTTAAGTTTCTGACGTGTATTTGTATATAACCAGTGGTGTATCCTAAAAATAAGCTGTATGAAAAAGCCAGCCTCCCATTAGTACTCAGTAATAGTAAACACAGAATAGCATAAGTTCTGTGCATGGCTCAAGGGCACTATATGGCCCACAGCATTTATCTGCAATAAATGTTAAGTCTATGGGCTTAAATTCTGCCTTCACTTATACCCATCTGACCACACTGATATCCGTTAGGTTTGCAACCCTCCAGGATTGGCTTGGAGTCTCCCAGAATCGGCATCAATCTCCCAGTGACCATTGGAAGTAATCCAGGAGATTTTAATAGGATATTTTAAGAAAATGACATTGTCGTGTTGGGGAAAAAAAAATCTCCTGGAATAGCTTCAGTCAGAGTTGGCAACTCTAATATCAGCGGTAGTGCACGATGTAATTGAGGGTAGTATTTGGGTGCTGAGCCCTTATATTCTGCATAGATAATATCATTATTTATACTGAATTACACACACACACACTACATGAAAAGACCATTAAGATTCCAAAGTCAAGCACTCAAAATTTAGGGAATGACAGAATCAAAGTTGCTTGGTGAGCATTAATAAACCTTTGTGTGTCTGCATTAGGGGACAGTCTTCGGTTACATGATCACTGTAGCAGGGTGGACACCCGCTCCTGCCCTGAGGGGCTTAAAACAGCCCTAGGAAAGGGCTGTGGGAGGAGAAAGCAGCCACTGGGCTGATTGGGGGGAAGCAGGCAGTGCTGGAGCCACGCCCCAAACAGAGCCCAGCTGACCCCTATAAGAGGCTGTGAGCGAGGAGCCCAGGCAGTCTCTCTCTGCCTTCAGAGAGAGAAGGACCTGGCTGCTGGGAAGCTCATGGTGCCTAGAGTGAGGCAGGGCTGGGGAAAGGCCAGAGGGGCTGGGGAGCTCAAAGCTGGCAACTCCCCAAGCTGCAGGGCGTTATCCAAGGCCCTATAGAGGCACTGGGTTGCAGAGAGAGGCAGCAGGTCCAGACCCAACCTTGCCTATGAGGAGTGGCTTACACTGCAGTCTGCCCCAGGGCGCGGGGGCTAGTTGGTGACTGGCAGTAGCCTACAACTGAGGTGAGGTAGGGATAGGGGATGGGGGTTCCCTGGGGATGGGAGACCCTGAGAGAGAGAGAGAGAGAGAGAGATGAAAGGGGCACTGGAGTCCAGGGAGGGACATGGAGCCAAACGGCAGCGGGACACCGGCCAGCAGAGGGTGCTTGAGAGGCTGGATGAGCTAATTCCCAGAAGAGACAGCAGGAGGCGCCGCAGGGGTGAGTCCCATTGCTACAATCACATATTATTTCTTCCACAGGCCCCCTGCTTCATTCAGTGCACAGGATGGTGCTATTCAACATTCAGTGCTAGTCAATATTTCTTTTTATCCTCAGCATTCAATGTATGCCCCCATGCCATTCAAACCCTGCTCTGAAAGCAAAATTATTAATTTCCTCATGGGCTTTTTTATACCTCTCATCACTCTAGTATCTGAGTGCTTCATAAACACTAACGAATTTATCTTCACAACACCCCCGACAGGTAAGGTGGTAGTATTACTCCCATATTACAGAAGGGGAACTGAGACACAGAGATGTTAATGTTGAAAGTGCATACTACTTTTGGGTGCATGATCTGCGATGCCCAGGACTCAATATTTCAGAGAATTGTGCATTATACAGCGCTATATATGTTAAAAAGCACATCTCCCATTGACTTCAGTTGCAGCCGTGACTGCTCAGCACTTCTGCAAATCAGACCCCACTGCCTCAAGTCAGGCATCCAGAAAATGAGGACTACACAATTAGTACCAGCATCACATAGTAATAGGGTGACCAGATGTCCCAATTTTATAGAGCTAGTCATGATTTTTGGGTCTTTTTCTTATATAACTCCTATTTACCCCCACCCCTTGTCCCGATTTTTCACACTTGCTGTCTGGTCACCCTACATAGTAACTCTGTGGCAGAGACAGGGCTAGAATCCAGTTCTCCAGGGCAGTATTCAACTGCTATAACAACGAGACCATCCTTTCTTTTCCTGCAATCCTCTGCCTCATTCACTACAC